AATTCGTGAAGGGAAATGCATACATGAAACTTCGAAGGTGTGCGTATTATGTTCATCACTATCAAAATTTGCAAATTCCCGTCTGGATAGAGCAGAACCTCTGTAATACCTCACGTTAAACTGCAGCAATCATGTTGTCATTACCATACTGAAATCTCTTTTCGAAGATCGCGTTTTGCGATTAGATTGGGACACACAAACTATATGTGGACAGTGATTCGAAATGAAGTGAATGCTGGTGAATCCGATGACTGAGTCCGTAAATGACTAATCAGAAGTGTATTGGGATTCTCCTATTCGATAACACTGTACTCTATGGTCTGTTTCGAAATCATTCGTTCTCATCAATACAGACTGCGCATCGCAATGCGTTCACACTGAGGTGATGCAACATTTGGTTCCTGTAATCAGTCATTACCCTTTGTAAAAAAGTTGTACGCCGTGAACCGATAGATTAGGGTTAGAGGTAATTGAATGGCATCTCAAAGGCCTTGGGTTCAAGCGCAATCAATTTACTTTAGATGAAAGCAGGCGATGAAAAGCAGTGTTTTCAGGCTAAAAACACCAATTGTCAATCGATCACTTAGGTATTGGTCTCATATGGCTATGATGCTTTATGGATGCATTTTTGCTGCTGCGGTTATCCCGTCACAGGGTTCTCGCGATCAAAAGATCAATTCAACCTATCGAAGCAAAGCAACTTTCATCCTGCGTATTCCGATCTAACGTACACAACCGCTATTGCTACTTTCCAAATCTACCAAACTTCCACTTGTACGGCTTTACTAATGACGAATAGCTTGGCAGCCAAACCCGCAAGTTTTGAGCTAAATAATACATTTGGCTATTAGCGGGTAATGTCACTAACACATATTTCTATAATCATAAACATTATTCCTTTATCAACAATACTTCCCTGAGCAGCATATTTTTGCGCCTTGGGTTAAAGGTTTCTTCACAATCTCTTTGTCTATCTTCAGGTTTCCGTCGTCAGCTGTTTGTTATGGCCGTTAAAAATCCTGGAAATTGTATGGAAACTAACAAATTTTTCTCCACCTGCAAGAAAGTAATTTAATTTAAAAATAAAGCTTTTTTGTAAATAAACTATTCAAGCATTTGAAATGAAACTATCACTAATTCAACCCATGAACCACAACTTAGTGATCGATTTCGAGCTTCAGTGTTAACCCAACGGCCATCAAACTAACAGTGTTCATTAAAACACACTGTGGCGGTATCTTTCATTTGATGAATAACATATAAATGCTTTGAAAATAATCTTCCAGCATGCTGCAAACCAGCTGGGCAATGTAGAATGTAACCATTAGATCTTATAAAAATAATGGATGGATATACCGCGAAATCACAAACGTATTCGGTACAAATCGCATTGTTCCTTTTAGTTAGATGATGCAGTTGGAGTGCAAGTTACCTAAATGATCTGAGTGGTTGTAAATCCATACTAAACTTTGTCCGAATAAGTGATTACTTCTCAGCGCAGAGTCATTGGTATACCTGATAACTACAAGCCTGTGTTGTACCGTTTCACATAATTCAGTTTGATATCAGTCGTTTTATGCTACCTCATTGTTTTTTATTTAAATTTTTTGAATTGATTCATTTCTATTATCAACATTTGGTGAATTCTTGTCATATGTCCCTTAGCAAAACCGGATGTGTTGTTTCAGTCTTTTCAACCGCTGGGTGCCGAAATATCAGTGCACATTTGCCCGTACTCCAAATGCTTTTGCACAAAACCGTTTGTCTGACTACAATTAGACATGACTTATTTTGTTTTTAGATTTAATAACGATACATGGGAATTCAGCTGCCGTAAGCGACATTTTATTTCATTCGCTCTCCTATCCTGCATAAATATTGTCATGTAGCGCTGCCATATTGCACATATTACCGAACAGCCAAAAGTGCCATTCTGCCAGTTATCTGTAAACGTCCTCCATACTGACTTTACAGCCGAAGGCTTAGTGAAGTCTCCTAATGTCTGCTTGCCTTCCTAACCGTAGTCCATTTATATTTACTTATTATGTGTAATTTTAAAGCCACCGTTTGCCTGGGTAACAAGTTACTTTACTGAAGGCCTTTCTGGAGGTAATGCTAGAAACATCAGGTGAACTAAGTACAAATATTTGGAGAAAGCTACCGTCTCTAAGACGTTCCAGTTAATCTTAGGTGATAGAAGGAATTTGAGGAAGACGAATCCATTTGGTAGTTTAGGAAATCGAAATGTTTCACTGATATCTTAAGAAACTGAACATGGAGGCCAATTAATTTAAACAAAGTGCATTTCATGAAAATTCTATAATCCCCAGTGCATCAAATATTCCCTCTAATCATCCCTATTATCTGTGAAGCATAAGCCCAATGTTAACGGAAGTCGTGCCACTTGAGTCCAACTATTGTCCTTTGCAACTTTCATAACTTACAGGAAATTGGGGTTTTAGTCATGCTATATGGCAGGTAGCGTTTTACACATTCCTGTTATCTGACGCCTACAGTATTTTGTTGAAATAAGATGTTGACTAGCGGTTCAAACCGCTGGTGTTTATAAGTGCTGATCCTGATGGAACCGATGGATTCGTACCAATGTTAGGATCAAACAGTCTAAACGGCTGCTTATATTTTTCCGAAGTACGCAAACTTTTTACATGTTAAATGATAAGCGTTGTCATCTTCTTTAGTGGCGAAATAGCATTAAATTTTTGTTATTACGGTTCAACTGGAAAGTTGTGCACATTTCAGGATAACTGTTCAGTAATCTGTCTGATTAATATATTCACTAAACTTTTCCGGGATTCTAACCCAAATTCGCTCCCAGGACGCATGGTGTCTTACAGGTAATTATTTTGTACATAATATATACACATCTACACACGGATACTAATTCTTGTTCACATGTTGAGTACGCATACTGAGATTCGCATTATTATCAATAATCGATCAAGGTATTGCCTTTACCATTTCAAGAAATTCAGAAATACCTGTCAACACAACAAATGAATTTGGATCTAAATCCTTGCTTGTGTACTATTGGAATAAGGGATTATAAACCATAAAGATAGTGTCACTTGCTCTACTTGCTGCACTCATGTAATCACCGACCGGAAGCACGACAGCTTGGCTGTGCCTGAAGCACTTCTTTTTGGAGATTAAAGTAGCGCGCTGAGGACAGAGTTTGCAAAGTAATTCAGAACGGAAAAAGTTAATATTTAATATGTGATAAGGTTGTCCCGAGCATATTTGATCAATCTAAGCTGTCATCACTTCAAATGATGCACCCAAACAATTGACGCTGAACGGATACGACAAGCATACTCCACGAGGCATCCTAGTTACCGTGTACATCTACAGTGAGGATGGATGTATGTTTTGATGAGGGATCCTCGAAGCAACTTAGATTATAATACTGCTGACCTACCCGATGTTGTCAGTTTTCATAGAAGGTTTCACACCTATTGATAATAGGCTGTCCGTAAAAATATGAACTTCCTAATGGTGTCCTCTCATCCCGGCGATTAGCTGTTAGGACGTACCACAGTGTACTCAAGTTTCGTGAACGCAATATCGTCAATTTACGCCAAATAAACATATTTTTAGACAGACCAGCGCCCCTTAGTTACCATACTCTAAAATTATTTTTCCTCTGAAAGATCGGATCCACACAACAATGGAAAAAACGTGTAACTTAAACTGTTTAATTTGCTGTAGAATCAGTAGATATATGTTTGAGGCAAGCTGGAAAGTTATCTATTTACTTATTCAGAAGCACGAATTTGTTTTGGTCCTTGTTACTTCCAAGAGTTGCTTCTTACCGAGAAACAGTTCATTGCTTATCCATGTGGCTTACGTACTGGTATCGAAAATTCTTACATTTTCCTTAACCGTGCTATTTTTTCTGAAACCGAAATGCATGGAAGAAATGGGTTAGAACCACGAATTTAAATGTAGTGGATATATGACTTCATGGAATAGGGTTAACTGGGCTTCGTTTCAGTCCCTATTACAATAACGTGCATATTTACTCAAAGTGTAAGCAATATGTTGACTTTAGACTTGGATTAATAGAGACTTCATATTCAGGAAGTATTAATTACTCGCTCAAATATACAACCGCTGTGGGAGCATTAAATTGGATCGACTTGTCTGTTTGCTTATACGAACTCAGATTAACTCATTCGTTTAACCTGTTATCTTGGGTTATTTTGTCAAATTTTAATATTGGTATACTATCACTCCGACGAGGTAATAACTTTATATTTTTTCTATACCACTAACTTCATAATATGTTACTGATTGCGGCCGTCCCACCTGGGATTTTAACTCATGTTCAACCTTAAGTAAGATTAAAGTACTTCATATATATTTGACTATAATTTCGATTTCTTCACACGGTGTATTACCCTAGTCCGAACCGTATGTTGTATGATAAACAATTTTGAAACTTAACCGGATTCCGATATTTGGTAACCTTCCGCGTTAGTTTATATTTCACCATATGACTGGGCACTCAGTACTACCTTTGATGAAACATGGAAAATATTTTTGCTTCACGGAAGTCACTTGTGTATTCTCGATGCGCAAGGCGTACTAACAATAGCTTGGTGACGGAATGGCCCTATTTGCCACTGTCCAATGTTGATGCTAGGTAGATATCTGGATCTTTTTCTTTATGACGTGGTCTAGGTGTAAGTTGCTGTAGAGATATTGCGATAAAACGAACCTTCTGTCCAGCGCTATTATTATTGTTCGGTTATTGTTTAACTGAGGTCTTTTCCGAACAGATCCTTCGAGTTGCGCCTAAAAACTACAAATGGTAAGTAACAATGCTATTTGTAATATTAATTCGCAATAAGCATTTGAGTGAATGGATTAGCAATTCCATTGACCACTTCCATCCCCTAATTCTCTAGCAGTTTGAATTAACGCGAACGCCAGGATGCACTTACTGATTCTATGCATACTTTCTCTATTCTTCCTTTAAGGTTCGCGGAAAATATCCTAACACAGTATTATTGTCCGCGGTAAGTGCCAGCGGTGGCACACTGCGTACTGGACGCAGTCCTACAAGGTGGTGGGTGCAGCCACCAGCTACCGGATACGTGACATATACTTGTCAATCGAGAAATTCCGACGGAGCGTTAAATATGGAACCCACATTTAAGTGTCCAACAGATGGCATACAATTAGCCATCTCTGATGATACACCTCAATCTGCTGATTCAGAGGTAAACTCTGGCAAGGAAAAGGACACTGAGACTCAGAAATGTAACAGTGAGTTTACTTTACCAAAAATGATGCTTCTAGATATCAAACGACCTGTTTCAGTGTGGGGACGATTAGCGTTGATATCATTTCCGGTTTGACGGTGTCCCTTCAGGTGACACATAGGGACGTTGACAGACCATCAGGATATTAATGGGAATGTGCTGTGGCTCCAAATGCCGTGTTAGGGAACTATGGATACCCTGGTGGAATTCAGGCTGCACTTAAGCATAACAATGCATAAAATGATCATAAGCATTGATCATATGCCCTACTTTGTTTAGTGACACGACCATTGTGTGGCACATGTGAAAGTGATAACCATCCATCAAAATGTAAGGCATGGATTATTTTCAATACTTCAAACACAATTAGATGGCAGATACTCAAAAGCTCCCAAAATGTTTCAGGATTTCATATTAATGTAGCGAAAATTAACTATGCTCTTATAACTTGAAAAGTTATTGCTACAGAAAGAATCAGGTAGTTTCTCATGTAAATATTCACTCAACAACTCACATGATGTATTGTTTCTACTGTCCACGAATGTAAAAGTTGCTCGCTTACCTAACACTTGCAAAAAGATAAAGTGGCATCAGTAGTACACCGGTACGCAATACCACGGCATCACTTCTGCGGAACCACTACGAGTCGTCTGTGGATAACTGCGTCGGTGGCCCGTTCCCGTAGACAACTTCGAATCTGAGATCTCAATTTTACAAAGCAAGCTTGCGATCATGCGTTCCTAAATAGGGATGGATCCAATCGCATGTTTTAAACTTATATTAACGCTAAACAAAGGCGCTGATGATTAGAGGTTGTTATTCTTTTGAGAATAGTCATTGTTTGCGAATTAGCTGACAATCTATATGCTGTCTGATCTGGGTGTTTTGTCTATTTTAGTATTACGTCACACAAGACCTCATCCCGAGCGCCATTTCGCAGAAGTGAAGTGTCCCTAGGTGCATCTTGAATTTATTCATGTTCCAAGGTCCCGCTTTGCCATGAATTTAAAAAATGAACCATTTATTGCCTAGCTGCGTTCTGTTTCCATGATGCAACTATCTAGGTTCGTTCATAGTTCTTCATAAGCAACTTCCAGGTAGAGCAAGACACCGATGAATCCATCGGGTTTACATCAACTCTCTATTTATTTTCGAGACTTTCTCTAGATAGAGCTGCTTATTCTAAGTGAGAACTGTGGGCGTCAGCCAAACGACTTTTATTGCATTGCGCTTATCTCCATCACGAGTAACAAAGGTTATATTTGTCATAGTTTATATAGAAAATGGTGTTAGCCACAAACGATGTATTTTGGTTTCTCAACTCTCACCTTTCGAGTGACCTTGATCTTCCTAGATGGTATAAGTTTCATCAATGTCTCAGCAGTCCTGTTTGCTTATCTTTGAGTAAACAAGTCCAAAACTCTTCATTTATGCATGTGAATTGACGTGATGTTTAAAGAAGATTTAGTTAACTAGCTTTAGGCTTCATTGACACCGATGTGGAAAAGCAGGTTAGACATGCTATTCCCATTAGTTTTCTATAGCTTTAGCATACTGCAATCTAGCCGAACTCCTTGGGGCACGATCAAATGCAGCTACGTTTTTGAGTAGCTGTAAGACTGTTGAAACAATTTACAATTTGTCTAGTGCTCACCTGTTTGTGATTTGTCATCGTCTCCAGTAAAACTACTGGTCTTGTTCGGTATACCCCCAATAGCATGTGGCCATCATTTGCCTCCTTTTTATTTATATACCAGGAAAAAGCTTTAATTTTTAAGTGTTTTTATCACCACATTTGTTTCTAAATATACGACTCCAGATGACTGAGCACAGCCACAAAACTCCTTAATTCAAAGGATCTTCTAAGTGCTACGCACACCACTACGTCCAATTTCCAACAAATTCATCAAACGAATAGTAAGGTTATAGCGTGGCGCCGACCAGCTCTTTACCGCTGCGTTCTGCTTACTGGTTAGAACAGCAATTAGAGGGGGTCTCTGTGTAGCTGCATTTAATGGCCCACATTTAAACAGACCCCTTTTGTTGCAGTGCGCTCGAAGCATTTTATATCGGCAAACTGTTTGTACAGGAATTTCTTAAATTCCGACGTTAACTTTGCCTCAACTACGTGCTGCGAAAGGTTGTTCCATACATTTACTAATGTCCGTTCAAAACCGGTTTACTGGAGGAGCCGCTTCAAATCCGGTACTGTAGAAACTTGGACCGGTGTTTTCGTGTGCCGTTTGGTGTGCGCAACATAAGCAGTTGTCTCAACATGGAGCAAACACCAAGACCTTGTGCGTCATGATCAGGCTAACCAACATTCGACTATAAGGCAGGGAGTACAACCCTAGCCTCTTGAACCGGTCATCATATGGCACACCTCATAAACTGTGGATGAGACTTGTGACCACATGCTGTACCCGCTCAATCGTTACACTTCGCCCCGGGTAAGCGGGTGAGCAGGCAGTAGGCTCATGAGCTGCACTGTAGTATTGGTCTGTGGATAGAAAATAGGAAGCGAGTAGCAACATTTTCTGCTCAAGTGCAGGAACTGCGTTTGAGCGCCGACAGCATTTGTAGTCTATGCCAGCATAGCCCATGCAAAGATGAATGTTGCTGTAGGATCGGATTATGAACTTAGCTTTGCTAAGACCTTTACACCCGTAAGTGCATTGCTTGGTCGCGCATGACTTCGCAAAACCTGCACTTAAAAATATCACACCACAATTCAATCACCAGTGAGATGCTCCAAAATGCTTCAGAAACCTTAGTGTAAATTTACGTGCTCAACAGCAGAGGTATATTACTCCATTGCAACCTTCTTAATGGACCAACCGACGAACTTCACGACTACCTATTCGGGTTATTGAGGCAGCACCTCCGAAACGTGTTCACTGCTTTCATTGCCTCATGCGCAGGTGCGCAAAAGTACACATTCGGACACGTGCAGTAAACTCCAATATACACAAAAAATGTGTAATCAGTCTTGATGCATTTGTTATCAGCAAACTTTCTGTAGCTTAGTTGGTGATGAGCTTGGTTAAATGTAGACGAACTCCCAGTTCACAGATATGCACAGCCAAATACATCAAAGTGCTTTCTCCATCCCCGCTTACATAACAACCATTCTTTGCTGCAACCACCTCAATTGTGGCCATATTTTAAGCTGCCCCGTGCTCTGAATGCGGGTTTATCACACGAATCGTGTTTTAGTTATCATCTTCAAGACACCAGGAACAATTGATATACTTTGTGGCTTAAAAACCTATTAATTCCAGCTGCTTTAGGCGGTATATCCTCAAGTTCATTTTGGCGCAGTTGTGGGTTTTCACATTTTCCTTACATTTAGTTCTTTTGTCTATCACAAACACAGGACTCTGCTGTGTCTGTAACCGCGTACACAGAACTAAAATAGATCTTTTAAACATTTGTCTGCGTGACTCTTCACGATTCTCATGCAACAACATTGACTCAAATGATTAGACCGCAGCTTACTTTCGTCTGCGACAAAATCCAAACTAGCTCCATTAATAAGTCATTATGATATTTTAAATATCTGTCAATTGTTGGCTAGAAGTGAACGGCACTATTGTTGCTGTGGTCTTTGATCCCTGGATAAAATCTAACAGCGATCTCTACGCGCAATGCTATATCCAAGCATGCTCTTTCTGATTTTTATTGTTCGTTGTTTTAGTCATCCTGATTAAAACGGATGGCATTTGGGTCACTATCACTTTTACCTTACCACCTCTGTAGTTAAATGGGCACACTTGATTTACCAACAGAAGAATTTACGTACAACTTTCTGTGGTTTATGAAATTAATGTGCGTGGAATAGATTTACCTTACAACTAGGTTACGTTGGAGATTAATACATGATCCTTGAATACACGGACCATTGTATAACAAAGAATAGAACACACATCAATATCAATATTTCGATTTAAGTTCTAGCATACTTAAACAAGGTCACTAAGTTTGATTCAACGGGAAAACTAGGTCTAGTGCACTTAGATACGCTTTAAGTGCAATGTGGTGTTCTACTTAAGCTCCTCCGGATGTTTGTCAGGATCCTAAATTTGTTTATGCAAACGAAAACCACGACTTTCTTCATCAAGTTCGTTTGATTTGCCCAAATGCTTCTGTTTGAATAATTGACCACTCGAATGAAGTACTGTAGAGTGCAAGAGCAGTTTACTAGCACAAACATTCCTGTTTTCCCAAACGTAATCCTTGAGTGATAAGCTGAATTGCACGGACTTAACAAGGTAAACGAAACAACGTAACGCTGGTATTGACCAAGACCACGGATCACTGATAGGCTATCTTCAAACCAACTTTGTCAGAATGCTCACCAAAAGAATTTGCTTTATCGTGAGAATGAAAAGCATACAAATATCACATTGTCTCAGAAAGAATCAATATAACAAAGCAAGTCTCTTAAGTTGTCTACATTGTTCTTAAAATCCACCAAATACTCAGCCAATATGGTTGCAATGGGTTAGTGTCAGATCAATCTGAATCACAGTATGGACAGTGCCTTTTTGAAAACATTAGAAACAATATTGATCAGTAAATGTTCCTAGATGTAGTTATCAGATGGATATGTTGTCCTGGCAACTCATGAACTTGTCGTTTCGTCCAATACCGCTAATTTAGTTATATAGCAATCTTTTAACTCCAAACAAATTAAGTTCATTTCCACTAAAATCCCTATAAGCGCGCTTAAGTGGCGGTAGTTGAACAGACGGCAAACTACTTACAGCGCTACTTCAGACTAAATGGAGGTAGACATTTAGGGTTCAGTGCTACTTTTATTTTGAAGCGCTAAGTTTGTGTTCAAGTATAATTTGCAAATTAAGCGTTTATAGGTGCAAATTTATCAAGTCTAGGCCAATAAACTGTGAATCGGATTTGCCTAATTTTCGCGCCATTTTTGCACATTCTGCTGCCAACACGGGACTAAGTTGTTCACCTCATAAATCTTTTGTATATAGGAGCGAACAAAAAATACTCTACCTCAGGCACATCAACTGAGTGTCTCCGAGAAAATAAAATTTTATAATTGTTTATCATTAGTACTAATTGTTAGCAAAAGTATAAGTCGGGTATTCGCTAGCAAACGCACAGATGTGACGGTTGTATTCAAATATTCTGCCTGGTTTCTTGTTATGTTGTCCTTATGTTACTATGAATAGGATGTCCAACATATTTCAGGCACGTATTTTGTCAATTATCCAGAGCACCTGACATCCATCGAACTGCAGATACACTTCTAATACTGAGAGACGGAGGCTGTATTTAAGGGCAAATATAATAATTTCTGTACAACTCCATCGATTCATGAAAAATCAACAATTTTAATTGGGGTTTGTCAGCGACAGATTTTGGTCAGTTAGTCTTTTATCGATGTTCGGTTAGGAATTCGTATTGGTGTCATTATTTCCGGGTTTCGGATGCATTGTTTTGAATTTTATTTACACCATTTCATGAAAGCACAGGTTTTTGAAATAATCGTCGATACATGTTGTGAAACACTTCACAGAATCGGTATCTACTAGTCCTGCTAGTGTATTCCATGAGTTTATGATTCTTCGTTTTAGATAATGCTGATATGATACCCTGTTCTTGCATGGGACCCTGTGTTTGTAACCTTGTCTTTAAGTGGTCCAGGGTTTTTGCACGTGAAATTCTGGCTGCAGTATGGGGAAGTGATTTAGGTGTATTAATAGTATGGTTTCTAATAAGGACAATTCGTACTCGGCGGTAGGAGATTGTGTAGAGTCTGAGCCTTCACAAAGTTTTTCATACGAAAATCGTTGGTGCAAAGGAAATCATTCTAGACGCGACGTACTGCATTTTCTCCAAATATTCCTTTTCCACTGGATTATCGGATAGCAAGCTGCGGCGCATTAATCAAGGATTGAACTTATGAGCGAGATGAATAGACAAGGGACGGTTTCTTCAGATGATTTGGTGAAACTGCGTCATAATCCCCTGAGTTCACAAAATCCGCACAGTACAATTTTTCGATATTTTATAATGATATCACTCATGTCGTGAGGATATTCCAGGGACCTGATATAAGTTGCAGAGGAGTAAATGGCCGTCGAATTTGTATGATCGCGTTGTTGTAAGTCAGGTGCTTTGATAAACCCCGACATGCTTGTGTGATTGTGAGTTGCATCTCAGTGGACCACGTTAAAATTTAACTAAGTCTTGTTGGAGGTGAGCGCAGTCGTCCTGGTTCTCAATGATGCATCTGATTTTGAATTTTACCCACACCTTTGTGAATATGAGTTCCATTTGTCTAACAGAATTGTTGAAATGTTTATCTATGGCGAAACCAATTTTCCCAAGGCGTAATGCTGTGCTCGCTTCCTGTAAGCCAAATCCATACTTGTACAGGATGCGAAATATTTTGAATAATGGTCAAATTTTGACCATTACAATTAAATAAGAGTAGGTTGGGCTATGCTTAGTTTGCAATTCGCAGACTATTTTATTTTGCTTTGAATTAAGTGAGGGGCTAGACTAGACCATCGTTATTAACTTTTGATAAAAATGTTGTTTGTAAAATAAGTCATTATTTTCGGGCTCACTCTTGCAAGTTTAATGGTAGGCATGCGAGTCCAACATTGATTGTCTGAAGGAGCGTTGGAACAATAAGAACAATGGATATATACCAGCTCACAAGAGTCCAAACTTTTAAATTTAAGCTTGCCGTTCTATGCCACTATAATGTGTTTTAAAACATGGATTTCACTATTTTATTATTAGGAGTAATGTCAACAAAAATGCACACTAGTTCAGTGCTAGGCGTGCTCGTAAATTCGCTAACGAAGGTTTTGCGTATGTCAAATCCAAATATTGCGATGATCAAACCGTCAAATATCAAATATGCGTTAGGTCACCCTGTAGTTCTGAGCACGAGAAACGCATGTCACTAATTCATTGCCGGCAGCTATCTACCTCCTCCATTTGTCCATTCGACAAGCGGAGGACATGGTTCAGCAAGAACGGCGTACGGCCAATCAGATTACGACAGTATGAGAAAATTTGGAAATTACTGAATTTTCAGACAGTAGTAGAATATTTGCACAAACTTCTTGGACCCTTCTTGTGGATAAATGAAATATCCGAAGTTTGCTGTTTACTGTGGTCAGATGTGTTGTTTCAAGCATAATTTAAAAACCCAAATAAGGGTCCTACAGTCAAATGCTAGGCAAACATGAGAGCAGAGAGACAACGGAATTTTCAACATTTACATGCATTTTAATTTCTTTCGACACACTAGCATAAACACAGTAATATTGGCTGCGTTTCGTTTACCGTGCAGCCTGCCATCCGTTTAAAGCTAACTGAAGTTTTGAAGTATGTAATTTTTCTAACTAATTCTAAGTCATTTAATAACATAGGCTGAAAAACAACTTTTGCGTGAGATACTAATGCAGTTGAAACACGGTTATTTGATGTAATTATTGAGAAGATGCATGCCAGCGTTTATAGGCACTAATATACAAAGCATTGACAGTTTCGGTTCCGCGAGGTGATTTGTTTTATCAAGTCTAAGTGATTAAAGGATAAAACTAATGTTGGACCTAGTTCAATAGTTCAATGGTGTATGGTGGGATAAAAAGCAATAACTTTACAAGACCCACAGGATGGCAAATAGAAGAAAACAAAAGTTTCAGGTGTGACACAAAAATATCAGTAAGTTAGACACTGCAGTTTGTCATACCGTTATATAATGTGTATCATGTAAGTGCAAGTCCAATAGTCTTTCGAATGTCTCGATGTTTGGTGCGTTCACCACATGCGATGGCAGTGCGTTCCAGTGCGGACAGACACTAAGAGAGTAAAAAAACTTTCTACAATCTAAACGGGAATATTGAGTCACAAGTTTTAGTGCATGGCCTCGGCATCGTTTGTCGGCAGCTAATGTTAACAGCGACTTACATGGATGGTCCTCTTCTCTTAGTATCCGGTAAGTGAGTATCAGATCACCGCGAAGTCGTCGGTATTCTAAGGAGTACAGACCGATCGAACGAAGGCGCAGTTCATAACTAAGGCCCGATAGACCACGTGTTGCCTTAGGGGCTCTTCTTTGTGGTTGCTCCAGGAGACGAATGTCCCTGTTTTAACCACGGACGCCATGCTTGCACCGCATACTCGAGGTGGGGACGAATGTAGGCGTTAATCAATAATGGCACGAGTTGCCGCTCGAAGGTACCGAGCGCTCGCCTCAAAAGCCTCAAGTTTAAGTTCGCTATGTTAGCTGCCTTTGAACATTGCAGCGAATTACCCTATATGTTGTTCACATTTCCCGGCAACCAAATAATAGCCTGTTAGTTACACGAGTTTGATTGAAAGGCAACGGAACCAGAATGCATCTGTTTCTTTGTTCTACGTCCATCAGAAATTCTGTTCAACCGGAGTCAGTAGGAAATCAAAAAACTGCAAATCGCATGGTAATTCCGTCGTTATTGTTTCATATCACGAAACTGTCGCCACCACCCGGAACAATTAGCTCAATTGGGTAGCACAAATACGCCTTCATATCTAAGGATGTTAACGCCGTACAGTCTTATGACTCTAATCCTGAAAGAAAAATCCCCACATAAATCTGTGTTTAGCCTTAAGTTACCCTAGAAGTCTGCGTCATTAAATGTTTTGCAAAATGGCGGTAAGCCACACACTAAGCCTAAGAAGAAAATACCTATTGTAACCGCGTGACATCGTAGATAATTTGCGCGCGTTTTGCTTATAAAAATGCTTATTTCTGTGACTAACATTTTGTATTCTTCGCCTTGTTGGAACCGAAGGAGGTGAGGACACGCGTCAGTTGGTCTAGAGGAGTAACGGATTTACTTCATACTTATCACCAGTTGGGACCTTTTAACTTCCTGTTCGAGTTATGAAGTAGGGGGAACTTTTTAATTATCGCCTTATTTGACTTCTATTTGTGTCGTACGCTTCTGTGTTAGCAATTATCATGCTTAGCCTACTTAACGAATACCACTCAAGCAAATCCGTAAAACGAATACAAATTTTTGTGTTATGTTTTGACTTTTCATTTTGCTCTGCTTTCAACTCTTGTATTGTTGTCTTGTATACCATAAAATTTCTGTGTCTTGCACCTGTAATTAACTAGTAGATTTCCGGCGGAAATTGCATGACAGGTTTGCTGATTACATTTCGTGGCAAACAATACAACAAGTTTTCATAGTTGTCCAAAATAGAATTTAATAAAACAGTCAAAGTCACTGCATTCTACTAATTCAGTCATAATGAGAGCCGATAGATAACATAATGCTATCTTATTTGTTTTTCCAGACTCTAGACGAGATGACGCCTCGGAAAATAAAATGAAATGTGTCAAAGCAACGGAGTTCGCTTGTGGGTCGCAATGCTGTCAAGATATGATCGAAACCTATGGTGTCAAACCTGCTCCCGACATCCTAAAGCTTCGAGTTCCTGTGCACGCGGAAACAAATGCCATCGATCCCCTTACCGATTTACAATCGTTTCGTGGATATAAAACACGAAGATGACGGTTTATAACACCAAAGATCTATTGTCTAATTTCGTTTGTTAAATTTCATCGGCCATGCTCTGGAAATTTGCCTCAGTATATTTAAAAAAGTTGCATAAGTTTTGATTGTGCAACGTTTCTCAAACTCAAAATTTGAAGAGAAAATTTGCTTTTATAATGAATATCAACAATGCTAAAATCACGATCTGGTTATAAGTAAGCAGTAGCTTGCCAGTAAGTGCAGACTATTGGTAATTGGAGTCACGGGTATGATGAGTATTGCTGGAATTATTATTCAGGTTCAGACGTTTCAGGCGGTACGTTGATCATCTAATTTGGTCTAGGGAGAAAAGGATGCACCACCACCATGAAAAACAATTTCTATGATACTTGCGCAAAGTTTGACTGGCAGTTTGCGCAATGTAAGACTCCGTATAATGAATTTGCGCAGAAATGGCCGCGTTGGCTTATACAAAAGTTAGACCTCTATACAAGCGCCTATTCGGGTGATACGCTGTGTCATCGAAAACGGACAAGGATACCCACACGACCAGCGGACTATAGCTTTTCCCAATTAATTGCATCCATTTTGCAATTGGATTGCTCTTTCCAGCTATTGAATTCCGATCCTATTTCTTTGAGAGTGCGGTGGTTTAAAAACTACGGCCATTTTGACTCAGACTAGCAACAGGGTTAGGAAGTTCTAAAAATCTCACCCTTTTCCAAACAGACAATTATCAAGTAAGTAGTTGCGTTATATATATATATATATATATATATATATATATATGATATAGCTAAGCGAAAGAGCCGGGGGCTGTACCTCCAACAAGCATACTTGACAGTAGCCAAATAAAGAATATTAAATTATTGAAGACTTATCTTCTTCTTCATTGTTCCCAATGCACTATCAAATGAAGCTACAAAGTAATTGACGCTAAACAATCTAACTTCTGGTGCGTTTAAAGCATAATGATTTAGTTTAAGGTAAGCCAAACCAATACCATACCATGGAAGGACATACACATGAATTGAATTGCTGGTCAACCTAGAATTCAGTTTGTTAGGCTCCGTCGGTGCTTTAGAAATGGGTTCATAAAGCTGTCTTGATACTTTACCAGCATGATTCCAATGACGATGATAATGCAGTCTGCAGCAACTGAGCAAGTACTGATACCGCCATGTTGAATAATTAGTAGCCAGAAGTTGTTGCGTGAATACAGTATTGTCCCTGACCTTATGGCAGACTGGACAACAACTACGAACTTAGGACACACGCTGAAATTGTCCATATTCATTCCTAGGCATTCATACAAATCTGAAACACAAAAAGGTGAAAATTGAGTAACCTGATAGATACCCGAATTTGTTAGACCTAGATCGGATAGGATGGTACACACAGCCAATTTATTAAGCGGAGGGAACATCTATTTTCGCAAACAACCTTAGCTGCTTAACTAACCCTACACATAAATGTGGTCGCATCTTCTTGAATAGGAGACCAGCAGGAGGGGATATTTATCTGATTTTATGTCCATCAATTAAAAGCGCAGGCAGGTAAGGCAATTTATTTATGCGAAACGCTATCTATCGAAGCAGTTCTAATGACTTAATCTCATCGAGAATTGAAAGGTGGAGTTTTTAATTATATTGCACTTATAAATTAGTAACCACAAATTTAAAACTTTGTTTTCTCTTAGCTTTGCATATTTCCTTATAGGTAAAATTACAGCTAGCATGCAATGACCATCTTAGTTTAAATATTGCCAGTTGTTAGACACAAATACATCTTTGTGAAAAAGCAGCGCGATGAAGTTTCACAAAATCATTTGTTAGCACATTACTCTTTGGAACTTAGTGGAACAGGTATCTCCAAATATACAGAACATGTTGTATGCACTTACCAAATACAAACTTTACTATCTCTTCAGTCATCATTCTGTAAATGATTTTAATCCATCACCTTCTTGAGTTCTTACTAATGGCAGCTTTGCGATATCCAGGGCGCTAAATTATTGCAATGGTATATTATAATTTGCTAGCATACAAATATTTATTTATATATTGTTAAAATTTGTGACAACTTGGCAACAGTTTTCTAAGCAAGCTTGCGTGTTGCAGGTTAATTAACCAAATTGCACGTAGGTCGTGTGCCATAGCTAGAAATTCCATGCAATGATAACATTATCAGACCTATTGCGAAGATCACGTACATCTTCACAACCATTACCCTGAAAATGGCATCAACAGAGATGGTTAGATCCTGCTTATTTGTTCGCAACTCCAAACCCGAAGCATCAGTTCAGCAATACCTTTTACTGTGTATTGCATGTGAATAAGAGTTAATAAGCCCTAAAATCGATACTCTCAACCGATGCATCGGAAGCAGAAAAAAGCACAACGGTCGTGTGCTTCCCAATAAAATAAGGTTTGGTGTAGGTGAAAAATGTATGACCTTTATCATTGACTGCAAACAATAAATCATAAATATGAAGATATCTATGCTAACTTCTCTGGAATTCAGTTTATTGCGAGAGCTTATGTGTTGAGCCTAAAGGTTTTAGTCACCAATGGTGCGACGCGGGTTATAACTAATTAATTGAATAACCCGCCAAATACATCTTGTGCAACTAATTTTTATGGATATAACTGGCTGAAATGTGCTAGTGTTTGAAGAAAAATACTAACTCGAGATTGTTTGGTCATCATTTGGCTGTCAAATCTTATGAGTTTCGCTTCCACCGGAAAATTTGAAGAGGAACTTATCTTCAGCCAACAGTTAAAGGGGTGTATTTAATTTTAATTACTAGCTAATCCGTTAGATATATACATATATATAAATATGTATATATATATATGGCATGGCAGCATCCGAATCCGGATTTGTTTGTCACTGTCGCCTCCATGGGGACAGCCATAGGACGCCTGCGCTTACAAAGGGGACCATTAGTGGCTTGCGCTTCACCACCCGCAGTTCCGCCCACACACCTCTTATCCGGTGTAAATCCAAAGAAATAGGACCGGGAAGCATGTGGATGTGAGCAACGTTTCATCAACGGAGCCGGCCCACACTCCTTCAACAAGCAAAACAGAAGCATTCCGGCCTAATTGGGAAATCATGCGCACCAGACATACATATGACGGTGGTTGGACCGTAGCCCGTTCCACGCGGGATGGAACCACTCTTTGAGCCTAGCACCGTGACAAGGGCGGTGCACGCCGTCCCCTCCAGTTACGACAAACTGTCGCTTGTTGCCAGTATGGACGAGATAGTGGGTAATAGAGAGGTAGGCACCTTGATAACATTTACATCAAGCGCATCTGCACCGGGGAGCCCAAACAGCATCTACTTCTGAAATGCAAGATTACTCAGCACGCAGGCAAACGTATCCCATTCGCCGCTTTATTAGCCTGGATTCGTAAATCGAATGGGAGCGTACGCATTATGCTTCTATTTCGCGTGTAATAGTACCTTCGCCTGCACCTGTGCAATTGCCTTTATGATCAGTCCACGGAGTTCACATCGATCAAATTTGCCTTGGATTCGCAACATCTGGAATCAAAATAAGTTTGTGTAAACTCACATTCTTCGGGTTCTGGTGATGTTATTTCAGGTTTGCTCGAGTGCCTTTTCCCTACACTAAGTAAGCCGTACAAATGCGGTACGAGTATCCTCGTCGAATTCATTGGCTATACATATATACAATGAATGGCGTCATCCGTATGCAATGGCAGTTTGGATCTAACATATGCACATGCTTTTATGCAAACTTGTGTGAGCTGTCACAAACTGGATAGAGACACAGCAGACATCATGATCAATGGTACGTCAACCGTGCATGGGTTTCGTTTGGAGGTCAGCCTAACAACTATTTTCGCAGGCATAGCAAAAGTTCCCGTATATGAACTGGTGATGTTTTCTCCAACTTTTAAACGTGACCGCCTTAAATCGTGCGCATCCATAATTGATGGGACCTAATATAGCAATAGTGAAGCAACTGCTAGGTAGAAGGATAACGAAACTACTGGTACAGTGATATCATGTGCACTTAGGTGTTGCCTTATACATGTGCAGTCTGATTTGAATAGCTGATGGGTAAGATGATCATATAGCATGCGAATGCGACGCATTGTCCACTTCTGGCTCTCTGTGTCTCAAACCGGTTCGGTCATCTGCTGCCTCAGGTATGTGCACCTAGTCAAAAAGGATTGATGCTTACACTTTCGTATTGACAGGTAACATCATATATATATATATACAGTTGTTTTCCTTAACCCGCTAATTTTCAAAGTAATTCATTAAAACTTTATACATTAGGTTGGTTTGCTTGAAGCTGGAGGTAGACAAATATATTATACTGTGTTTGTGCTTATATGTAAGTGCTGACACGGTTTCTCGAACTGTTGCAACAACAAGCTTTTTAGTATTTACATAGATTATCCTTTCTTTATGACAATAATTTGACTTCGGAATGCAAGCATTATATATAGATCTCCTGCATGTCGTACATCTGTAGAAATGGGCTCGAGCGCCTTGCCGGTAGTTTAATGATGGATTATATTGTCGCACTAAAATGCTACAGCCTGCCACGTACGTGAGAGTATTTAATAAGATTCTAATGCGCATCCTCCTTGATGATAAAAACAAGCATTTTGGAATCAAGTCTAATAACGCCGTGTATCCTAGCAAGCAACAACGAATATATCACCTTCGGGTTCAGCTTTGCATTTTCACGGTTTTGACTTTAAACCACGCCATTTAGACGCCTGCTTTTGCTTTTAACTTCTATTGACTCGGATGTCCAAATTCCATCAAGTGATGCAGCAGTGTACGCTTTATATCAGCATTATCCTCAACAGTGCGTATCTGTCAGATGTTTTGATTTTCAAAGCAAATCCACATCCGTTTGTGCGCAAATAAGTATGTTGTCCATTTTTCAGAGTGCGCTTAACTGGCCTCCCAATTAGACATAGATTACAGTAGTTGGATATGGTATGAGTAGATGCAGCTCACATTTGCCTTGTTGTTCCTCGCTTCCAAAGGGACACTGCATTCGAAGTTAGCTAGTGTTCAGTGACTGCTTTCATGCGCGCTCCTAATTCTGCATTTACAACTGTAATCCT